CCTTGAATTGAGGAAGTAACAAAGAACAATTTAGACTAGGTGGAGTGAAGTTGGAGGTCAAAAGGGTTAGGAACCAGTGTTCTAGTTTCCGGGAAGGGCAGAAGAACATGCCAGGCGTAAGGAATGCCCAGAACTGCCCAGTTCAGCATAGGACCCCCAAACTCTTCCGAGCAGACTCTCCTCACTCGAGCAATGATTCCCCGGTAAGCCAGAGCCTGACAACGGTCACGACACCAGATAGGGCTTCAGGGCGGCGGTGCCCACAGAAATGCACACCATTAGTGCTCCGCGCACGGATCGCTGTGTCCTGTGGAAGTTCACAAGGATACGAAATATCAGAGGCAGAGCTGAGCGCCAGAGCAGCCGTGATACTGTGCATCATTCAGAGCTTCGCAGGGACGAAGCTGAGACCGTTCTTCGCTGGTCCATGGGCGTGCAGGGTGTATTCATATGGCGTCTCCAGAGCCCCAGACTTGGGGAGCTTATCATTCGCTTAGTGAACTCCCCCACCCGCAGGAAAGGCTCTGCATGAGAGGATGCCCCCTGCCACCAGCCACAAGCGGAGAGGACCCCGTTGGGAAGAGCAGCTGCACTGGGCCCTCAGGAGCCCCGGACACTCGCTGTCGCCTGTGAAGTGTCCTGTCTGCGGAGCCAGCTGAAATGGTGCCTGCCAGTCGGGCGAGTGCGGCCTAGGCGCTCAGTCGTGTCTGACGCTTTGTGACCTCGCGGACGGCAGCCCACCAGGCTCCTCTGTCCATGGGATTCTGCAGGAAGAATGCTGAAGTGGATTGCCATGCCTCCTCCAGGGGATCTTCCCAACCCAGGGATCGAACCCAGGCCTCCCACATCGCAGCAGATTCTTTACAACTGAGCCACCTGGGAAGCCCACATGTTTAACATCATCAGGCACATCTTATCCTGTAATCGGAACCAACTACACAACTGGTGGCGTCCGGCGCAAAACAAGTTGTGGGTCTCACTCGAGAATCACTGAGAACTTCAGGGTGGCCATAGCAGGCGTTCAACAGAGCAGAGCCCTTCCAAGCGTGGCCCCAAGTGACTGCATGGGTACTACGTCCTCAGAGCCAGCCCTGACCGAAAGAGCGGGTAGCATTATTGTTCATTTTTATTAAATGGCCACAGTTCCCACTACTACTGTTTACAAACATCTTGACTTGGGGCCAGACTCGAGGGGATGTCTGCCTCCCTGTTTTACAAATAAATAAACCAGGTTTCAAGGGATTAAGAGCAGTTGACTGAGTTGATGGAGGGAACATAGATCTAGGATCTAGGTCTTTATGACTCTGAGGCTGTAACTAGCAGGGGTCATCAGTCTGGAATTGTTAAATCGTTAGATGTGTAAGATTCCCACTGACCACACTGACCAAAGCCAACAGAGAGAGCAAGCCGGGAGGGCCGCACGAGGCATCCCTCTTCAGGTGGAGTAGAAGTTTTCTGCAAGGGACGTGCCCATGATAAGTCTTCCTCACTCACTAGGGAGCCCAAGGCAGGGCTTCTCATCAAACGTGTTCACCCAGGGCTTCTCCCAGGCCCAACAGTATTCTGCCAGTGCTCACGTCTGCCCTGACCCACGCGTCCTGCTAACACAGCTGGTGGGCCATGCTTATCCGGTTTCCAGGGGAACTGATAGAGGGTGTTAGCCCAAGGCTAAATGTGTCCCTTTCAGAAGAAGGAAGGGTCTGGGGGCCTCTTGCCCACAAATCCACAGAGGATGAGATGGTTGGATGGCATCACCGACTTAATGGACATGAGTTTGGGTGAACTCCAGGAGTTGGCGATGGACAGGGAGGCCTGGTGTGCTGCAGTCCGTGAGACTGCAAAGAGTTGGACATGACTGAGCGACTGAACTGAACTGAAGTGCCCACAAATGCTCTCTACCTGGACAGAAGAAGTCCTTCAGACATGGGACTCCCCAGGGCTGCAGGAGAGCACAGTCCGTGAGAGACCTCGCGGGCGTCTTCAGCTCCACCCTAGCACCTCCAAGCCGGGGAGCCACGACCAATCTCTTCAAAGGTCTGTCTTATTTTGCTTGATAGTTGTATTTATTCACAGCAGGAGACAGTCAAATCGGCATAGCAAAGACAGTAAGTGCAGGTGTATTCAACTACTTTTGAAAGTGACCAACAGACACTCTTGACTCTGGTCCCACTTCCGGGATTCACACCTGAAGACGAATATTCATGAATGCTCATCACGACATCATTAATAACAAGCTTTCTGAGAGAGTAGCCTTGAAGCATATGCCCTCCCATGTGTAGGACAGACGGCTAGAACAGACGGAAGCTGCTGTCTGGAGCAGGGAGCTCGGCCGGGCGCTCCCTGACGACCCAGGGGTGAGGGGCAGGAGGCTCAACAGGAGGGGTGTGTGTACACTAGAGCTGATTCACATTGTTGTGACCATCACAACATTGCAAAGTAGTTATCCTCCAATTAAAATAAAAGCTTTCTAGAAACAACTTAAATGTTTGGGTGAGGAGCAATAATTAATTTATGGAAAATTAATATATTGGAACACAATGAAGCCAGCAAGAAGCAGGTTTCAAGTTTCTTTCATGATCCAGAAATTCTTAGATTGCCATTTTCAGTGAAAAAATTAACTGTTTAAGGTATAGCTGTGATTTTTGAAACAAACATGGGTTCTGCATCTAGGTAGAGAAAACACTAAAATGAGAAAATGGCCATCCACGAGAGGCAAGTTTACAGCTGGTTGTATTGACAGTTTCTTTTCCACTTTTATACAATTTCTGTATTTTCAACAATGCACTTGTCTGGCTCTTTAGATCAGAAAACAAAGAAGAACAAAACAAAACTAGACTGTATAATTCCAGGGAGCTGAGCTGTGGGATTTTCAGCTGAAAGGGAGTTAAGAGCAAACTAATAATGATCTAGTCTGGTGATCACAGGGGTTTTCATATCGGAAGAGGCTTCTGAGTTCAGTAATGTTGCTGCCTAAATGAGCAGCATCGACTGGCACTTCCCTGAACCAGGGGGTCTGCTTAGCCTGCAGACCCAGCCCGTCAGACTCCATCGTGGACACATGAAGCCAAACTCAGCTGCCTCACAACAGCCGCCTGCACTTGAAGTTTCAACCAAGCATCCTGCTTGGTAAAAATCAAAGGCAGAGGGAACACCCCAGCAAAAACAAAGAACCTGTATTTTATAAACTTTATGGATTTTTTCCAGAGTTTAAAAGTGTTTCTTTATCCACTGTATAAATTAGACGATATGAACTGACATTCACCAAAAATACACTTAAATTTGCTCCACATCCCTCAACCCAGATATTAACACTCAATACTTAGGCTGTCTGATACACTTCCACCCTCTGTGAGTTGGGTGTGTGTGTCCACACATACTCACGTCACACACACGCATGCCTTCACTACTCATACACGTATGTTTATCTATGTAAACGTGCAAACGGACATAGACCCATGGTTCCTCCTCCATGTGCTGTCTGGGTGCATTGCACTTTGTCTTTCCCACTCAGGGACTCATCCTTCCTGTAACAAGTATTCGCCAAGCACCCTCCACGCAACAGTCCTCTCCTGGGCATTTGATGGATATAGGACAGAGCAGTGAATGTGATGAGCAAAGAGGGGGGAGGCAGTAAAGGAAACTATGAGAAAGGAATTCATTTTTATGGTGTTTTGTTTTTTTAAAGCTAGGTACCACAGGGGAAAAGACAGTGTAGAGTGCTGGGGGTCAGAGGACTGGCCAGGGAATGGGCGGTAGTCTTTTATAATTAGCGTGCTCAGGTTAAGACCCTGAGAAGGATTCTTCTGAACAAAGACCTTGCCCAAAGTCAGGAAAATCAAGGATGGAAGCTGACTGTGGAAGAGCAGTGAACGGGGGCCAGTGCAGAGGCCCTGCCACAGCGCGGCGGGCCGGCTCAGGAGAGACAGACGCCCGAGAGGAAAGAGAGGGTGAGGAAGGGAAGCCGGGGGGTCGGGGGCGCTGCCCTCCTCACCCAGTGGTTCAGAGTCTGCCGTGCAATGCAGGGGCCGCTGGTTCCATCCCTGGTCAGGCACTGAGATCCCACTTGCTCAGCAGTATCTAAGCCCACAACTAGGGCCACAGAGAGAGATCTACATGACGCAGTGAGGATCCTGGTGTCTCAGCTGAGACCCACTGCAGCCAAATGAGAAAATACAGATATTTAAAATATTAAAAATCAGCATAGGAAAAGCAGAGACATCACTTTGCCAACAAAGGTCCATCTAATCAAGGCTACGGTTTTTCCAATGGTCATGTAGGGATGTGAGAGTTGGACTATAAAGAAAGCTGAGCGCCGAAGAATTGATGCTTTTGAACTGTGGTGTTGGAGAAGACTCTTGAGAGTCCCTTGGACTGCAAGGAGATCCAACCAGTCCATCCTAAAGGAGTTCAGTCCTCGGTGTTCATTGGAAGGACTGACGCTGAAGCTGAAACTCCAATGCTTTGGGCACCTCATGTGAAGAGCTGACTCATTGGAAAAGACCCTGATGTGGGAGGGATTGGGGGCAGGAGGAGAAGGGGATGACAGAGGATGAGATGGTTGGATGGCATCACAGACTTGATGGACATGGGTTTGGGTGGACTCCGGGAGTTGTTGATGGACAGGGAGGCCTGGTGTGCTGCGATTCATGGGGTCACAAAGAGTTGGACACGACTGAGCGACTGAACAAAAATTAAAAAGATAACTCGGGGCTGGGCATGTCAGTGTGGCAGGCCATGTAGGACGTTTTGAAGGCCATCCTGAGGACTTCGGCCTTTCCTCCAGGTGGCAGGAAAGACCATGTGAGCGGCGGTCACAGCTGCCGTGGACAGAGATGTGAAGACAAGCCTGTGCCCTGAGGTGATGACTGCGTCCTTGGGGGCAGCATGGACGGACCCCGTCAGACCGGGTGAGACGTGGGTGAGGGATGCAAGCCGCCCATCGTGTCTCAGGTCTATGCTGGGAACACTGGGGTATCCAGTGACTCCTGATTCAAACTCACCGGTAAAACGCGGCTGAGCTGCTCACACGCCGTGACAGAAGAGACACAGGCACGCACGCCCGCCCAGAGACAGGGCGAGAAGGCTCCCCCGGCTCCAACACGGGCGCTGGAGGTGAGCCGATTGACAAAGGTTTTTACTACCAAGTCCACGCCCTTCAGCTCTCAGGGGCTGGAAATCGACGTCTTCCCCCGGTACCCCCTGCTCTGCGATTCTGGACAAAGGAGACGCCGTCTGGACCCCCCCCCCAGAGTCTTTTACACGCCCTTCCTCCCCGGTGGTCCTCGGCACCCTGACCCCCCCACGTCTCCCCAGCAAACTCCCCCACCTCCAGCGAGGCGGCACCCCCGCTTCCCGTCCTCGGACAGCCCTGCTCCGAAGCTCGCCCATGCCTGCGTTTCTTCGCGTGTTCCCCGATGCTCCCCAGCGGGCCCCTCCGTCCCACTCAGCATCACCTCCTCTGTGACCGTCCTGGACCACCCTACTCACAGTCGCAGCACCCACCTTGCTCCCCTCCTCCCGTCCCACTTGGTTTTCTCGGCAGCAACCTGGAGCTGGCATGCACACAAACGTCCCCTCCGCGCTGCTTCCCCCAGCCAGACTGTGCGCCCTGCAAGGGCGGGAACTGTGCCCGTTTGGTTCCTCGCCAGGTCCAGCGTCCCCAGCACGTCTGACGCTGGTCATCATTAACCCGTGTTGACGGCTGAGTGAGCAAGCCCGTGAGAGGCTCTGAGGAGCCCCCATCAGAGCGTCCCCTCTGGCAGGGGTCACAGGAGAGGCCTTTCCCCAGCTCCTTGCGAGGAGGGCGGCGGGGCTTCTCTGCGAGGAGAGGAGATAGGCCGGCTCCCCACGTGCCACACCCAGAGGCGACGCCAGGAGCGCTGGCCGTGCCCCTCCGTCAGACGCGTCCCCCACACGGGGTTAGGCTGCTGAGAAAACCACTTCCGTGCACTAGTTCTGCACAGTTCCAGGCATCTAATACAATGCTGGACACGAACTGAGGTTGTCAGTCACATTTGAGAAACGAATAAATACATGAATGAGTGTGTGTACGTGTGTTACTCTGGGCTTTTTTGACTCAGAGAATAGGATCACTCAAATTATTATTACCTGCTCCCCTGGAGAAGTTCACCTTTAACCAAAAAAGCACGTTGAGAAGAGAGAAATTGGAAAACGCACTGGGAGTGCATCTGGGGGGATTTGGGCATTCTTGGCACCCCTGAGTTATTTGTAAACAGAGTTTAATGACGAGCTGGGTGTGTCTGAAGCTTCCACTACCATCTCTCTTAAAGCGAATGCCTTGTGCACTGCTGGGCACATTTCAGGCACCATCTGATCACAGCCCAGATAAGAAAAGGAATATGCCGTTACAAGGATGGCCCCATGAGCATGCATCCTAGGCCGCTGCCCAGCCCACCCCACCCCCAACACGGCAGGAGGGCAGAGACCTGGCCGGGGTGAAGTTAACCTGCCCCACACCAACAGGGCCTCCGTGCGCCGTCCCTGCCCAGGGCGGGTGGGTACATGGGCACCCAGGGCATCTGTGAGGCTGTCCCTGCCCAGGGTGGGCGGGTACACGGGCACCCAGGGCGTCCGTGGGCCGTCCCTGCCCAGGGTGGGCAGGTACACAGGCACCCAGGGTGTCCATGGGCCGTCCCTGCCTGGGCACCCAGGGCGTCCGTGGGCCGTCCCTGCCCAGGGCGGGTGCCCGGGCACACAGGCTCTCCCCGGTGGCTCTTCGGGACTCCTCAGCCAGGCAGGGAGCAAACAGGTGGGCGTGGGCACAAAAAGGAGTGCATCTTGAGGCTCTGCCTCCTAGAGAAAAGAAGCACTGCCGTTTCTTACACGGAATGAGTAAGTCCACACGAGAGACAGTTCCCCCTCTTCTCTCTAGGCAGCTTTGCATTAAGACGTTTTCTTATCTCAGCAGGATCTACCCTGTGTTTGTCAAAAATTCACTTGCTGTGCTTTTCTGCCTGCAATAAAAAAAAAAGTCCTCCTTTGCATCAGATATTTGCATACAAATTATATCTGGCACTTTTATAACCGACTACAGAGTCTTCACTGTGCTCTGGTGTGGCACGGTATATTATAATGGGGAAATACACATTCTTCTAATAATACATTGCTTTTTTTCACAGATGGATCTGTAAGAGAGTTATAAGAAGGCAAAAAAAAAAAAAGATTTCTACAACAACAACAACAAATAAGCCAGGTCTGAAACTCTGACAGCTTCTTCCAGTGAAAGATGGTTCAGTGGGTCTTTGAATTATCGTAGCCTTCAAGCTCTCTGATGGTGGTGCTTAGAGAATGAGTCATACAGACCCTTACTCAGAACAAAATCATTAGCAAAGAGATGCTGGGACATCGCAGTGATGATTATGGGCAGAAGCACTGGGCCTTAGTTAGATTCCAGTGAAAAGAACTGCTCTTTTGCAAAAGGTACATGGGTCAGGCTTCCCTGGTAGTCCAGTGGTTAATAGTGCGCCTGCCAAGGCAGGAGACACAGATCCAACCCCTGGTCCAGGAGGATCCCAAACACCACAGGGCCACGGAGCCAGTGGGCCACAGCTCCCGCAGCCCACCCTCCCGAGAGCTGGCGTGCTGAGGACAGAAGCCGCCCCCATGAGAAGGCCATGTGCCACAACTGGAGAAAGCTCTGCCTAGCGGTGAAGATCTGGCACAGCTGAAAATTAATGGATTTATTTTAAAAAGGCAGGAGGACCCCACCTTGAGAAGAATCCCAAGTTTCACACAGCAAGAGGACCGCGCCGAGGCTTGGAGCTCACCGCCAAGGGCAAGGAAGTTAAAACCCGAACTGAGTGCCAGACACGGGGCTCCCCGTGCGTCAGTTCCTCTAATTCTCAAAAGATAAATGCCCTGCAGACTGCCTGCTACAAGGCGGGCCTTCAAATCACTGTTGAATAAACACATGGATCCATGCATTTCTATAAAATGGATGCCAAGAGAAATTTTAACATTTGCCTCAAGTACCCTAGGGTTCAAACCCAGTTCTCCTGGACTCAGAAGCCGTCCCTTGTTTTGCCTGTTGAATAGGGGCATGTTCCTGTATCCACAGAGGGAAGATCTGAAAATGGAAAATGAGCAGGAAGCAATGAGACCATTCTTCCTTGAACTAAGGGGATATTCCAGACATGACGACTTTCATGGGCCAATAAACACTTCTGCCTTCGTGGACTCCTTCCTCCAAAAAATGCTACTGAAAACTGTATTACATGACTGGGTTTGTATAAACCCATATAATCCAGGTTGGATTTTTCTCTTGAATTTGTAAGAAAGGGAAGGATTTTTACGGGCCTCTGAAAGAATCAGGGAGCCCAGGCACTGCGCCTCCTGTGTCTAGCGGAGGCCTTGCCCGTAACCGCCTCATGCAAAAACTCCACCAACTAGAAACATTGTATCCACAGAAATTTCACAGTGAGTCTACATCCCTGCAAGGTTTCGATGCTGATAGCATTTGCCAAACACCATTGAAATAAATACCTAACAGCTCAGTTAGGATTCTGTTTGCCTGCACATGCTAAAGATCTGTCCATAGCTGTTTCCCTCCAGTAGGAATTTTTCATATGCAGTAAGTCAGGACAAGGGCAGCCCTTGTACAAGGGCTGGTCCAGCTACTTATGCAGGGTCAAAAAGGACCCTGCTTCTTCTAGCTTCCCCTCTGACATTCTTTGTTCCTCATGGAAGCAATATGGCTTCTTCAGCTCCAGCCATCCCATTTACATTCCAGGCAGGATGGAGAGGCAAACGCCAAGGATGAGGGATAAAAGGCTCCACCTTAGAAACTTTGTTTTATGGGGAAAAGAAAGCCTTCTGCAGATTGGAACTGGGTCTCGTGACATTCCAGAGACTCTAGAAAAGTGTTTTCAAGGAGAATCACTGCTTTTCCCAAAGAAAATCAGAGTTGTTAGTTAAGAAAAAAGGGTTACTATGGGGCGAGAGTGGCGGCGGGGGAATGGAGTTGAGTGAGCAATCCACAGCATCTGCTTCAACAGCCGTAATTCCTATAAAACTAAACGACCAAACCTTTGAAAACAGTACCCAGTTTAGGAGAGTTTCAGCTCAGCAGAAAACTGGGTGCGTTCTTTGGTTTTCACTAGAATGTGATAATCCAGGCCACTCTGCCCTCTGTTAGCAAAACAGACACAGTATCATACTGTCAGTTAGCTAACAGGTCTGCAGTAACCACCTCCCCAGGCTGTATTTATTTATTTATTTTCCCAATTATTTCTATTAGCTGGAGGCTAATTACATTACAACATTGTAGTGGGTTTTGCCATACATTGACATGAATCAGCCATGGATCTACATGGCCCTTATTTCCTTGTACAAGACACTGGAGTCATCTTTCTAGGCCAAAAAAACAGGCGTGTCATCGACATCTACTTCTATGTGGCTGAGTATTACCTGCTTGCTCATTTTTAGCTCAAGTGCCGTCCTCTGAGCAAAAAACGCTGCTGTTTGCACCAGAGGAGGCTGAAAAGGCCTCACGGTCAGTGCTTTCCCGGTCCAGGAGCCGAAATGCAGCTTATCGGTGCTTTTCCTACTGGACAGTGAGGTACCTGGAAGCTCACCACTCAGCACAAACCTTGGTCATTAGTGCACAGAGTCAGCACTTGGGAACCAAACTGTGGACATGACCTAACAAAATATTCAGCTGTCCTCCTGGGGCAGGATCACAGTGGCCAACTGCCCAGGTTGGCCCAGGACTCTGTGCTCACCCTAGGAGTCTGGCCAGCCAGGGGGAGTTGGCCGTGGTGAGCACAACGCCCATGCAGCCCTGGCTTAGAACCAATGGAAAGCGTATGGTTAACAAAAACTAACGTTTATTTGAGTGACAATGCTGTACCAGCCACCTCTTAACAATTTACACATAAGATTTTGTCTTCTCAAGAACTCCAAGAGGAAGGGACTATTGTTATTCCCAATTTACAGGGAGGGAAAACAGAGGTGCAAACTTTTAAAATCACTAAATGAAGCTAGTAGTGAAGAACCTGCCTGCCAGTGCAGGAGACATGAGATGCGGGTTCAATCCCTGGGTCGGAAGGTCCCCTGGAGGAGGAAATGGCAACACACTCCAGTATTCTTGCCTGGAAAATCCCATGGAGAGAGGAGCCTGGCGGGCCACAGTCTATAGTGTCACAGAGTCGGACACGACTGTGCGCGCACACAAAAACACTCCAACAAATGTGCTGTTACATATTACTTATGCAAGATATGCAGTGAGGAGCAGCAGAGCTGAGAACGTCCTTGGTGTTCCAGTGGCCGAGACCCCGTGCTCCCACTGCAGGGCGCTTGGGTTGATCTCTGGTTTGAACTAGACCCCACTGCTGCAGCTGAACTGAGAGACCCCCGCGCGGCAACGGAGA